GGGTCCGGCGTAATGCCATATGTGGCAGCAGAATTGCGTAACATCCCCCATAGCTCACGGGCGGGGACGCCACGTGTCAGCAGAGTGACCTGAAGAGAGAGAGAGAGAGAGAGAGAGAGAGAGAGAGACATACGGAGAGAGAAAGGGAAAAAGAGAGAGAAAGCGAACGAGAGAGAAACCAGAAGAGAGAGAGACAACGGGAGAGAGAAAGGGAGAAAGAGAGAAAGAGAACGAGAGAGAAACCTGAAGAGAGAGAGACAAAGGGAGAGAGAAAGGGAGAAAGAGAGAGAAAGAGAACGAGAAAGAAACCTGAAGAGAGAGAGACAAACGGAGAGAGAAACCTGAAGAGAGAGAGAAACCTGAAGAGAGAGAGACAAAGGGAGAAAGAGAGAGAAAGGGGAGGAAGAGGAGGGAGGGGAGGGGAGGGAGGAGATCGAATGCTTACTTTCTGGAGGCGTATCGGTGCCCAGAACAAGAGAACTCATCACTTGCAGAGGTGAGACCTGCCCTTTCCCAGTCAGCAAAGCCGCAAAGTCATCCGCCGTGGAGGGCATGGGTTCGAAAATCCACTGCGCGATGGCCTTCGCGTTGTCGACACTCTCCTTGGACGCTGTGTACGGAACGTCCAAGCTCTTCGGCACTTGGCACTCCGAGAGGTCATCCACTTTCTCCTCGTCGTAGCAAACAGGTATTTGCAGAAGCGGGGGGGTCTCGAAGGGGTGCTTGATTTCGCAAAAGTAGGGGCTGTCAGAATAGTACAACCCACAAAGACTAGTGTTCCTCGTCTTACAATCGCCCATTCTATTCTCGTCGAGACACAGACAGCCACAACTCAACCCATCCTCACCTTTCAACATGCTATCAATGAGAGCCTGGAAAACGACGATGAGAACACATAGCACGACGGGGAAACAGACCAGGCAGGTATTCATGCACCAAGATCTCCTCTGAAGAGTTAAGTTCTTCCGCAGAAGCGCATCGGCCTGCACGCGGAACGTTGTGTATAGAGCGCGTTTTCGAACGGTGATGCCGTTCTCTACATCGCCGTTGGCCCCCTCCACCACACTCCTACCCCCCATTTCTACCCCACCCCCCTTTTCTCCCACCGATGAACTCATGCCTTCGCTCTCTCTCGTTTTTCTTTCTTTTTCCTCCCCCCCCCCGACTTTCGATCCCGATCCCGATCACGGTTCTTTCTTTTTCCTCCCCCTCCCTGACCTTCGATCCCGATCCCGATCACGGTTCCTCCTCACAAACAGGATAACCTGATGTACATCAAGACGCCACCACTGCGACGGTTCTGAGCGCGGAGCTCACTTCCCCCCCTCCTCTCCCCCCTCTGTGTGTGTGTGTGTGTGTGTGTGTGTGTGTGTGTGTGTGTGTGTGTGTGTGTGTGTGTGTGTCAAGAGCTGTCTCTTATACACATCTAGATGTGTATAAGAGACAGAAGTAGGATAGGGAATGTCTGAACATCTCGACTCCCCCTCTGATGAGACCGCGTCTGGCGGCCGGGAAATACGGCGCCGGTTGAATCTGGTAGGGAATGCACCAGGCGTCAACGCTCTTCGGGACTTCAGCTATATGATCTAGAGGGAAGGGCTGCACATTTCTGGAATAGGGAGGGGGTCTCTATTGGATGGAAGGGGACACAGAACGACCAGCGGATAGACAAAAAACTTCCGGGAAATTGGCTGGGCTATGGCAAAGACTGTGTGCGCTACCAGCCAGTGCTCTGTCAAGGGATGGGTAATTAGTATTTGCAGCTCTAAGGGCATACTCACACTAGCACTTTATTACTTATTTCTGGACGGAATTGCGGCCAGATGCATACAGGTTTGGCCGGAAATGCGTTGAGATACATTTTAGACTGTGCTAGTGTGAGTCTGCCCTAAAGGAAACAAGGGAGCTAGAGAAAACACCCCTAAACGAACGACACAGCCCCAGAAATTTCAAAATGGAGGATGAATAAGCTGAGCCGTGTCTATGTATTCATGGAACACTGAACCCGATTTCCAGCAGGTGATGCTCCCCACCGATAGACGGAGCAGCCTGACAGCCAAGCGGCCAATCCCTCCAGGCCGTTGACTCCCCACCACTGGGATGGTGGGTTTGCCAAAGGACTTTCAACCCAAAAAGAAAAAAAGAAAAAAAGAAAGAAAAAAAAAGTCCTCAAGGACAGGCGGCCAAATTGCACCGATATTCAGCTCGGAAGCCAAGCGCTGTTAGTCCGGAACGGGTACTGGGATGGGTGACCTCCTCCTCGGGAGTCACAGAGCTGCTGTGCACCTAAAGCTGAGGGAGAGGCCGTACGGATTAGTGAGCCTGTGTCTGAGAAAAAAGGGAAAAAAAAAAAAAAAAAAGAACTGTTGAAAAATACAGACCTGCTGAGGTCGAACTCCACCAGAAAACAGACCTGAGTTCGAACTCCACCAGAAAACAGACCTGAGTAAAATAACTGCAATTCTGAATTCCCTACAGTAGGCCCGGTCAGTTGAAATGATAGAACTCAGACACAAGACTTCACCACGGAAGGAGATATTGATTGACACGTGTCATACAGCCGATGCAGGAAGGATAACCGCGGGGGGGGGGGGCGGCAATCAACAGAACAGGAGTAATTAGTACCATAGGATCATTATCGTTGAGAACAGGTGAACGCCGTTGGGGG